GCTCGAGTTACCTAACGATCGTCATCTATTATTCAGGCCGTCCCTTTCCTTCACCGTCGATGATAATCGCGAATTCTCTCTGTGACGAGCGATCGCTCGTTTCCGCGTGTTCCCCGTATCGGAAAGGCCATTTGCAATCTGTCGAAACCGAGATGTAATTGATCGCGAGTAAGAATACCGTCCCCGTTCTTCCACGAGCGCATTGTGCGCGCAACGCGGCATTATGCACCTAAATCAAAACGCGATGATAGTGCTCTTCATCTCTCTTTTCTCTCGGAGATAGAGAATAGCGGCGTGGCATATATTTGGATATCTTGAGAGACTCTATAATAAATTACACGTATACTTAATCGTACGTTGATCAAATAAATTCGGTAAATATATCAATTACGACGTATCTTATATTTCTCCATTTCCGAGAATTAAATGTATACACGGGAAAAATAATTGTTTAATATTTGTCATTATTCGTATTATGAAATAATTATAATCGGGAAAATCTTCCTTAGAATAATTGCTACTCTATCGTAGTTTCCTAATCTCCCAGTCCCTTGTTATATTCTTATTCGATTATGCGTGGTATTATTAGACGTGATATTTATTCTTAAGTCAACAATTACTCAGCCATATACAACATGTACAAAATTTTTATCTGATGAGATTTGTCTATGGCGTTAGAAAGTATGGACGCATATCGCCCGTGTATCAACAATCTGGTTGACTCAAAATATATCAACGGTTTATGTGTCACTAGTGCTGTCTTATAAACAAAGTGTTTTCTATCTTTACACATCTTTTTATCCTTTACATATCTTTAACTTTTCTTTACAATCTTTTTCACCGAAATGTTGAATATTATGATGATGAATTATGGGACATTCACTTCTAAGGTTTATTGTCAATTCCTCGTCACAGAACGAACAAGTATCGCGCTGCATTCTCATATTGTATAGTTAAATATTATAATTTTCTCCTCCATAATATTCAGTTAATTAATTCTTTCGATGGTTTTCGTTCTGCTGGGTTAAGATATATTGAATAGCTGATTTATGTTTACCGTTTATTATTTGTTATTTCAATATCAGGACTGATTATCTATATTGTAATTTGTTTAGCATATATTTTTGCGTCGTTGCTATTTAAATTCAATTTTGTGTCGCTTATATATTAATTATTATTATTCATTTATATATATAATATTTAGGCAAGACAGTAAAACTAGCTGCGGCTTTTGGTCTCAATATTGTATCTTCAATTTTTAGACTCTATAATCATTAGTATCCAATAAGAGAATTGTTGTTATTGTTGTTGTTGTTATAGTTAGCGATAATGACTGACAATGTACTGAGAAAAATTTCCGTCGAATAAATTGATTAAATGATGTATCCGATTGTTATTTTTATTGTCCGATCAAGTGATGAATACATTTATCCGATGAAGTATCTCATGAAGTTACCGATGTAGTTACCTACATGAAATCTAATCGGAAAATTAATCACTCTTTGTGTCCGCTTTATACCCGTTGTAATTTTCATCGGACAAAAGCACGACTTGATCGAATGAAATGACGAAATAATCGGACGTTGCACTTCATCGGATATATCCATTTGTTACTTTTTAACTGGATTATCCGGTCAGATATGATCGGGTGTATTTCTCAATGTGGAGAAATCGCGCCGAAAACGACTGTAATTTTGTCGAGACTCGCCTGTTTTTTCTCTCAGTATACGACATACTTTTTATTTCACATAAAATCCCGTATGTTATTATGCATATCGATCTATTCTAGCTACTAGGAGCTGCTATCTGGGCTGTCAGCTTATATTTTCGCGATTACCATTGAACGAATCGCACGTGCGAAGTATCCCTTCCAAAAAACAAGGCACTCTGAACACAATTCTCGAAGAGGTGCGTAAAAGTTCGCTCAGTTTAGTGCTAGTTCGCCGGATTACTGCCGCCGTTCTCCGAGACACCGTTCGCCCTATCGACCTTGAAGACCACGACTAATCGCGCCCGCCGCCGACGTTTCATCCTCTCCAAGCGCTGATCTCGGCGTTCCTTATCACTCGCGTATTCTAACCCGGACGCATCAGCCGAATGCCGCACGAGAAATGCGGGAGGGTTATATACGCTCTCCATAAATTGCGCGTTATACAGTCCATTCGGGCGCGAGATAACCGCCTCGCTTTTACCCCCTTCCCCCGTCACACGCGCGGTCATCTTCGTCGCGTTCCTTTCGCTCTTGGACGAGGGCTGTTTCCGCGTGGTTTATAGAGACTCGGACGAAAGTGCCGGGCTTTATCGGCGGACGAGAGCCGCAGGAGATACGAAAAGAGAGAGAAAGAGAGAGAGGGAATCGCGAAGGATCTTTCGAGAGAGCGAAGCTACCGCTACATATTTTTCGCCGCCGAAAGAATACGCTCAGATGGAATATTATTGCGAGATTATTCCGCAGAGAGGTGAGAGACAATACGCTTTCCTTCCCCCCCCCCTTTCTCCCTCTATTTCCGAGAGAAACTCAAAACTGATTTTCGAGATATTAAATTTCTGCGAGCCCGCCTCTACTCGAGGCGCCCGACTCATCGAGCGCGCGAGCTCGGCAGCCGGCAGGCGGCTTGATCTAAAAATCAGAACGGTGGCGCCGAAAATGTCTTCATCTTCGAAGGGTAGCGCCGATAAAGGCGGGTAGATGATGGGGTTATAAAGTCCCGCCGTATAGCTCGCGACTACATGACTGGAATGGCTGATCGCGATCGCGGGGGAGGAGACACGCAACAACCCCCGCGCTTGCGAGCCCGTCATAGCAGTCGCGCTGGCGATCGTAAAAGCATCTTGGTGATATCGCGGACCGCTCCGGGGTCCTGTCGATAAATACTTTCGACTCGCCGGGCCCGCCGGGGACATTCGAAAGTCGGGCGGAGACGATCGGTCAAGTTTGAGAAGAGCGGTAAAAGGCAGTAAAGAGGCGGCGAAACGCCGCTAAGTCGCGGTAAAAATAACGACGCAGCCGCGGATTTTATACCGCGAAGCTCATTTGCCGACCGACCGGGACTAATTCGCCCGCCGGGGCTGGCTTATCGCAGGCGGAAGCGAACACGGCAAAACAAACGGAAGTATCTGTTCCCGCCCGGCGAGGCTTTATTCCGGTTTGTTACGCGGTCGTTCGGACCGCGATATTATGTTACATCAACAACGCAATCGGAACTTACACCAGCACGTGGATCCAGCGGATCCGGATGGATGAACGCGGGCGCGAGAGAACGAGTCCCTTTTCCGCGGATTGATATCGAAAGGGACACGCAGCGGCGAACGCAGTTTTCTTTCTGGCAGTAAAAGATACATCGCGCCGGTTTCCGCGTTATAAATTCCGCGATGTTAAACGGCGCGTCGTGCGCGTCGTCCGAATAAATTGAATGTAACAGCCGGGCCATGGATCATCCCGCGCGATTGTATCATTCGGCGAATCGTCGCGAAGATTTACGGAAATGAGACGTTTGCTCCCGAACGCTCCTGTTAACGATCAACGTGGACAAATTGTACACGCCTGCAATCGTATACGCGGATTTCGATCCATCCCCGGGGGAACACCCTTGAAAGGATCGAATGAACTTTCCGACTGATCAAAGGTGCTTTGTGTGCGTCGGTCGATATAAAAGCTAACGATAAAAACATTTTTTTTTTAAGAAAGTACATTTTTACGATTATTTTCGTCCCTTGCAGGGGCTAAGAATCCGCGACCCTGTTTTAGGACGGCGACTTAACGAAACGATAAAACGCCGGCGAGTTTGGGCAAGAGTTCTTCGCGGTACTTCGCATCAACTTCCGCCTGTCTCGTCCGCGATATAACGGCCAGTTTAAAGGAGCCATTTTTATTTATCGCGCCGTCTCTACGTGTGCGCGTCCTTCGTCTGAAAGCATCCCTCGGCGCGCGCCCGTCTCGCCGGCTCGCGTCGGCAGACGAAGACGAAAGGAAATTGTTATCGCTTCGCGACGGATACTTTCGTATTAGGGTAGAAGCTTTCCGAAATTTTTCGGAGACCCCGAATACACTCGCGGCCGATTCAATTTGCCTAATGAAGATGGCAAAGGAGGGACGCGGCGCGCTTTCCGCGCGTCGGCGGAGAACTATAAAGCGCGGCTCCTATGATTCACTCTTCGAATTGATTTTTTCTCCTACGATATATTCCTGTATGGCCGTGCACGATTCCCGTAGGATGCCGTTCCGCCGCGAATTTCGTTGGGGAACCACGGTATCGAGTGTATGAAATAGTTCCTTGTATGTAATTTAGGCGGATGGCCGGTTAGATCACCGGCGGTTCTGCGGAAGTAGCCCGCTGAACGATTTGATTATCGCGGATTGAAGAAAGATACATTATTGTAAACACACTTGATTTATATAAATTACTCTCCAAGGCTGGTTCCTCTTCAAAGGCCGTAATCTTCGGAGTTTCGAAAAGTGCAAAATCTTACGAATGCTGTAGACTAATATCTACATATATTTTACATATTAATTCATATATTTTATTTTATATATTCAGGAAATATTGAGAAATGTTGTAATGTAAAAATGAATGGACTTTTGTGAATGAATGGATGTATCAGATATTACATAGTTAAAACATTTCATAATTCCGATGTTTCGAAGTTTTGATATTTTCGAAATTCGCATTTGCTGCAAGGTACAACTGTATTGTTTGCTGTACCTCTTTAATTCGAATAGCTAAGAAATTTAGCTGTAACAACGACACTGGCCGTCCCTATTTTAACTCTTAAGGCTCATTTTTTCTTTGTGCGAGTGAATTTATTTCCAATTCTTTTCCATATTGTTGCGTCTCATAACGCGAAGATGATTTAATGACTGCATTAAATTTTTCAATTTTATCTTCGCCACAAGTAGAAGATACGATGATATGGTCTATACAGATAACGGACGTTTTTGCATACGCGCGAATCGAAGAATTTTATGCCCTCGCTGATTCGGTGATTCCTTCTGCTTTCAGAACTCCATACGCCACAACTTGTCGCTGCACAACAGGTTCATACGAACGCAGAACGAGGGTACCGGCAAAAGTTCCTGGTGGATGATCAATCGCGATGCCAAACCGGGCAAATCCGCTCGTCGCAGGTAAGTTCTCACGCGACCGCAATCGCGATCGTGCGATGCGGTTTCGCGTCTGGTCGTCTTCCTGCTCGACACCGAGCGAACGGAGAGCGTATCGAGAATGCCGGAGTATGTCGTGCTTTACGCAGAGCAACCACGATGGAGAGCACCGGTAGTCTGGAGAAACGGCGTGGCCGCTCGAAGAAGATCGCGGACGCTCTGAGGAACGGCGCGCTGTTGGCGGAACCCACTTCCAGCCCCAGCAGCAGCGTCGGAGAAGGCCTCGACATCTACCCGGACAGTCCTCTACCTGCCAGCGGATTTCAGCTCTCGTCCGACACGTTCCGGTACGTTGCGTCTATCGACTACTGTTCGCGTTGTTGTTCGTTTACGAGTGAACAATTGTCAACGTCCAACCGATTGCCGGCCGTCCGGCGGAGTGATGAAATAACGGAATAACGAAGTAATGGAATAAGGAAATCGGCGAATGCACTTTTTATTGCCTGCGAAGAAATATAGACTGATCTCGTTCTTTTCTCGCAGAACGCTCCGATTGATGCGAAATAATAAGAATTCATGTTTAAAATTTTGAGAAAGTTTGAGATTTACCGAAGTCAGTTTAAAGAATTTAAAAAATGACGATGTGATTGCACAGTATTATTTGAAGATAAACAATGAAACAGAATGCAAAAGGACGATGGGTAAAATGGGTCGATTTTGGCGTTCGGAGTGACAAGTAAGATCGGTAGGTTTTTTTGTAGTTTTTGAGCTGCTGAATCTGATTCTGGTCCTTAACATTTTTTAATTTGTCGGGAAAGTATTAAAATTAGCATACGAAGCATATTAAAGCATCTAGTACCGTACATTATTATTGTTGAGCTTTATGAACGTATTTATTTGTGTTTATCTGCTAGTAACATATGATTTTATCATGTAAAATATTTCTTTCAGAATGGTATTGGTGAGATTCTGAGCAAGAATAATTGTTCCATTTACTTTTATCTCAATGTTTCGTTTTTTTTTTCTTATGTACATATTCTGCTATGTATAATATATAAATTTTCGTTCATTAAAAGTATCGACCCATCGTCCTTTATACGATATGTTTGCGATTTATATTATGGGAATGTGTATACACGAGGAATTAGACGTCTCAAGAAAATTACTGACGAAATACTGGCTCAATATCGATTTATAATGAATAGTATTAGGTGTCAATATTGATTTGATATTCGTGGAATACTGGAATGATAGCAATGGGTCAAAATTTGAAAAACAGTACTATAACTGTATCGATTCTCAATATTGCAAAAGTACAAAAAATTACCGATTTTCAATACTAACCTAGTACAGGTTCTTAGAAATTATTATTATTATGATTATTACTATGATGATTATTATGATTATTACTGCACAATTGTTAATATAACCACCATTTGTAGAAAGAATTTTTATTGTAAAAATTTTTATTGTAGAAAGAAGGGTCAAGGTATGGTAAGGGGTGTTTGTTTGTACCTGTAGATGTCTATTTTTAATGCCATTAAATGTAAAACGCCGAAGCGAAGTAGATTTGTCTGGGATTGAACTTGAGTCTTTCGTTTGCCAGGCTCTTACCACAACTGCTTTTACCACTGAGCTATAGATTCAACGTTATTATATTTTATGATTATATATATAATTAAATATATCAATATTTCGCGCTTTCTTATTTAAGGAATTGACATCGCAACATGAAATCCATATTTCAGTACTGAATTAGTACCTCGGCAGTCTTCAGTACTGGCGAAAATATACGATTCCTGCAAAGAGTATTTAAGATATAAGCTTTATATCAATAGAAAGTGGTGTACGATTTAAGACGAGCCGAGATATTTCTGTTATTCAAGTCCTCGCGCCTCGAGTAACGCGTCCTCCTGCGGCCAGTTGAGCCCTATCCCGGCGGTTCTCGGGGAACCAGACTGGACACCGACCTATGCGCCTTCTTACAGCCCGGAACAACAGTTAGGTACGTACTTAATATCGATACGTCTCGTTTTCTTTCATATATCAATACAAATTTTAGAGTTGATCCTCTCGGAACATATTGTCAAATCCGATATTGAACTCTGAAAATGCGGAAAAGCACTTAAAACAAATCGTTCACACGATTTATCCTTGCTGTCGTCTCCTGTCTCCCGCTTGTACGTTCAAGCGACTCGCAACTTCGAAATTAATTTGATCCCAACGTCGCGCGTCACGGTTCGCGAATCACGTTCTTCGCATACCCGGGCCGAAGTAAACCTCTTCCTCCCTGTGTAACCACACCTCTCCGTTCCGGTTGGCCGCGGCTGGCTGCGCGATTAATACGTCGTGTGTCATGCTCGACAGCAGACACGATCCTAGCAGGCAACCTGGCGGAGACGATGAAGTTGGAGTCGTACCAAATGTACCAGACGTCACCGCCCGGTCACCAGCAGCAGCAACCAGCCCCGCCGCCTTACTTCGAATACCAGAGGAACAACGGCCTACGCACCCCGTCATCCTTCGGCCTGCCACCCACCCCGCAGTCGGCCAATCAGCAGAGATGCCCGATCCACGGTCTGCAGCCGTGCGCTTGTCAGATGGTAGGTTTTTCCGAATTTTTCGACGCGGTGCAGTTGCGGATTTTTCGTACGAGCTCATCCGCAAAGGAGGACGTCCGATGTTTTTATGATGCGCATGTTCGGGCCTGGCAATGTTGCAAAATCAATAAGGATCGCGGGATGTATGTTTTACACACACACATACAACGGTCCGAGTGCCTCCATACCCGACGATGGCTTTCGTGGACGACCGATGGTGACGAGCGATACACCGTCTCGAATTATCGGGAGATTAAGCACCGCGTTGACTTTTGGTCGTCGGCTTAATTAACTAATTAGGCACGGCTTTGCAGAAGCGACGTCGTCGTTGTTGATTTTTAACCCCGACTGTTTTCCGCGACAGCCGTTATTTTCGCAGCGATATTTTTGTTGTCTTGCGCGAAAAGATTTGCGTCGGAGGGTACGATGCAGGGCTTATTTACATTTCATTATTGAAAACTGGTTTAAAAAAAAAAAAGCGTCGTACACGCTCATGAAATTGCAGCACCAGACGTATTTTCGATAACGCTACAAATACAAACACTCGATCCAAGCCGCGACACACCGCCCGTTGTAATTGATCAATTTCCGCGCGATCCAGCTTTCATTACAATCAAGTTTTGTTACTTATTTTATCGTGTTACAAACAAACACATACACGTACGAAAGAGAAGGTTGCGAGGTATTTCCGAGAGATTCACAAATTCGCCCGAATTGGTGCACCGCGAGCAACGAAATCTTCGACTCGCGAGATTCATTAAATGTCTAACAATTCCCGGCGTATTTAACGTATGACAGAGATTGGAAATATTTGTACAAGCGAAAGTAACATTATGCTTTGTCGTGTAAATATTTCCTGTTCAAAAGTCGTTATCTTTCATTACACGCACCACGCGCATCACGCGCACCAAAACAAGTCGGACGCGCACGTGATAGAAAATTATAGTTAGTTTCAGCGCCAAACAACTTTTAACCATAAAAAATAGGAGAATCATTTTTTTAATAAATGTTTCCAGATAACATTAACTCACTTTTGGTCGGACTGCAAAAATTTTTAGATTCATGAGACTCAAGGTACTCAAAAAACCTAAGATCAGAATTTTCTGATTAGCCGTTTTCTCTAGAAAATAATTGAAACATTTACCTTGAGTGACACCTGACGTACACTTGATATGGAATCATATCATAATGGGAATTATCATTTTCGACGACTTGAACTTTTTGAAGGCAAAAATACTTTATCATTGTTTTCAATTTCTTATTTTTTACTATTTTTAATTAGTTAATTAAAAAGATGGGGCAATAAATTAAAAAGATATGTTTTACGAAGTTATTTTCTACCCCCATCTACTGCCGGAAGGTGGCCAGGCGAAATTATTTTCTGAAAGGCAAAAGTCCAAATTATATTTTAGTAAGATTTAGAAGAACAAGATTTGGAATTACAAGACCAAAATCTACTTTTATCATAGATAAAAAAAATTTTTGAAGATAAGTAAATTTGTGCTCTTTCTATATAGGAATGAAGGAACAAAGTGGTTTAAAACGTCTTAAGACGTCGTCACAACAATGGCATCTTTTAAATAATGAGACGTCTAACGGACATTTTTGAAATGTCTTTTGGATATGTATTATGTATTGTTTGGGGTTACTATATTGTCAGTGATAATAACCTTGCACGGAAAAAAAGTTTGGTTAAATTTACCAGGTAGTGAACGAACGAAACGTTTTGACAATCAAAGCGTTTTGGTTGAAAGAAACAGAATTTCTAGTTCTCATGACTCAAATTCGGCTCTTATAATCAGAAATTTTGTTTTCTTCAACCAAAACATATCTGGTTCGTTCACTGTCTGGTAATTTCGCCGAAACTTTTTTCCCATTCGCATGTTGCTACTACTATAAAATATGTTTGGCCGCCGAAACTAACTATAATTTTTTATCGGTGCATAATTATTGCAATCGCATTTTTCCTCTTTTCAAATCCGCAAATCAGAATCTGAGCCCCGTGTCCGGCATGTCACCGTCGTATCAGCAGAGCGAACCCAGCCCGACGACACTGGGCAACAATCAGCAGCAGACGCTACAGTATATGATACAGACTCAACAGCGTCAACAGCAACAGCAACACCAGGCGCAGCATCAGCCGGCACAGACTGGACCGGCAGGTCCCAGCCCGCCCAATACGCCGACACCTTGCCCAGCTACACCCAGCACTATGATGGGTCAGTTGATGGGTGCCCTCAATCATTCTGCCCTTCTCGATGACCTTAACATCAACATCGAGGCGATGCACGGCGGCTTCGACTGCAACGTCGAGGAAGTAAGTCGCGCCCTGTCTGTTACTACCGACGAGCTGTCGCGCTTTTACGTTTCCAGGTTTTTCCTAGATTGCATTCTTCGCGTGACTCGAATCGAAATCAAACACACTAACAGCGTTATCTCTTTTCACACTAGAAAATTACAAAACTCGCTTCGGATTGTGATTTTTCAGTCTGAAGGAAGGATAGCGCGCGATAGCGGACGCGACGATTGACTTCGCACTTAATTTTAGCTCATCTCCCAACTTGGGTTTTCGAGTGAACTGAATTGCGATTGCTCTCTGAAGTGTAAACACCCGACTTTTCGCGTAACTTTTCGAGGGAGAACGAATTTCTCTTAACGTGGAAGTAAACGCACCGTTCGACTCGCGAATTACAGGTGATCAAACACGAGCTGTCGATGGGCGGCACGCTGGACTTCAACTTCCAGCAGGGCGTGATGGGCACCGCCGCGATCCAGGTGAGCGACGGTAACATCGGCCAGAACGGCGCTGTCAGTCAGAACACCGGCGTCGTCGTCGGCACGACGACCGGCAACGCACCTGCGGGCGTCTACGTCAGCACGAACGCGGCGACCCCCGCGGCGCCCCCCTCGTGGGTTCACTAGCAGTTAACCCCCCTGCCCTCGACACCCCCATCGTCCTTGCCGATGCCGTTGTCCGACGGGCGGGATAATTTCTGCGGGACGACCGAAGGGCAGCTCATCGGTGAGTATCTCTTCTGAGCTTCGTCATTCTCGCGTTTATCAGTTTCACTTATCGAGACTGCACATCGACAGATCAAATCGTGCGGTCACATATTCTCTCTATGCCTCGAATTTAGAACGATATTTGCTCGTTTTCTCTTTAGAGGGAATTATGATGAAACTAATTCTGATATATCTCTATTTGATATGTGGCGTTTCTTAATTAACGCTCACTATTTATAATGTTATTCCTTCCGAAAAATTAAATCGAAAAGTTTCCGAACCATTTTGTCGAAAGGGGTCATCATTTATGGCGGCTTTCCAACTTTCAAAATAACATATCTTTATAGCTAAGCCCTGAATGAAAATTTCCGTTGAAGTAAAATCAGCTTGAAATTAATCGGAGGGAATAGATTTGTTGTCCAGTTCGTTCGCTCGACCGTTTGAACTATAGTTTGCGAAAAGTCTTATTTTTCTAATCGCTTTTATCGTAAACTACTTTCTCGTAAATTACCAAGACATCTCGACATTTTCGCTCAGTACTTCCTTACTCGAATTTTGATGAGAAATAACGTTATATAAATAGTGCGCGTTAATTAAGAACTACACAAAATATGCTCGCTTATCTCGAATTTGTTGCAAGATTCATGAAAATTCCGTTCGTATTTTATATTTGTTCATCGTTTACACAGAACTACAGCGATAAGATTCCCGCGTACATGCGCTATTTTGATGTCGTTTCACGATCTCGCTGCTGCCACAAATATCCCACCGATAACCGGCCGATTCATTGCTCAATTCGACGTTGCGACTCCAAGGCAGAAGGAAGATATAAATATGGAATGTACCGGCTACTTTTCAGGCGATAATTTTACTCGAGCGCATTACGTAGTCGCGGAATAAGAGGGAGGCGTACATCCACGTCACCCGTTCGCGAGGTGTTACGGTCCGCAGGTCGATATATCATTCTCGCGTGGCTGATTAATCATACGGAAGTTCGCTCGGGATCCCTCCCGAGTCCTCCCACCTTCTCTCGCCCTTTCATGTCGCATTCTCGCGCTTCCGATCGCGTAGCCACGAAGAAAGGGTGCGCGGTCCTTCACTTGGCGGGAACGGGAATAGGAGGAAGAGGGTTATCATTGATTGCCTCCCTCTTGCACGCATGCAAAATAATATTTGCATACTCATGTCATAACACAGTGTCCGTATTTAATAAATCGCTTCACCGTTTTGTGCCGATGCATCTCTCCTACCTTCCCTCTCCCCCTTCCCTTTTTTCGTGCGTACCGATACATTCGTGTAGCGAGAGCGGGTGTCGGACGTTTTTGTGCGAAATCGCTATTGACTTGGACGCGATAACAATTACATCGCCGGAGGCCGCGAGTTTTATGGAGAGCCTTAACACAATATTGCTGATCGCGGGATCGCGTCAAAACAGTAGCATTTCGTTTGACGCGGAAGCGCGAGCGACGAGCAATCAACGCTCGCGCGCGAGGGAAAATATTCGCGGGGATCTCGGCTCGCGTATCGCGCGAAGACTCCCGACGAGATCGGTTCGTGTTTCAACGATAAACGTGGATGTTTACTCCGAACGTGTCCGAAGGGAAAAAGATGAAGTGGATGTAAGGATTCACAAGCTAACATCCCCTGCGAACGCTCTACAAAGAGCGCGTATTTGTCGGAAATTTAATTCTAAATACGCCGCGTACGCGCATACGTGTATGTATGTGCGATATGTATCGCTGTACTATATTAATATATTTTGTAGATTTCGATGAATAAAACGGTTCTCTTTGATAAAAGCCGAGCGGAGAGAGATGCGCAGTACGCGCGAATACTGGGCTATTTATTCGCCCGCGTACGCGATGATCCTTTTCTACGTCATTTCGCGAAGCGTTCGTTTACGACGCGGTAAAATATTCTCGCGTCGCTTTGCGGCGACCTTGGACGATTTACGCGATATTACACCGGTAATCGCGTCCGGATAATGCGATCTCTCTCTCTCTCTCTCTCTCTCTCTTTCCCTCTCTCTTTCTTTCTCTTCCCCTCTTTCTTTCTTTCCCTCCCTCTCTCCGCTTTCGTGGCCGGCAGCAGCGGAGAGTGCTCTGTAAAGCTTGCGATAAAAATTAAAACGTTTTCGCGTCCCTTTACGTCGGCTCCTTTTTCACACCCCTCACTCTCTTTCTCTATCTATCTCCGTCTCTATCTCTCCTTCTCGTCGGCGAGGCGGCAACGACGCCGGCGACGGCAGGGATGGAAAAGAGAGAGAGAGAGAGAGAGAGAGAGAGAGAGAGAGAGAGAGAGAGAGAGCGGCGTAAAAATGTAACGCGATTTCTCGCGGAAAATCGCTTTTGCCGTTGGTACTTCGCAACAACGCGACTAAAATAACTCCCACTTCGCTGCCGCGGCGCCTTTTAATCTTTCGCACGCACAAGTGCGGCGTGTAATTACAGCTTTATCCTCCCATCTCGTCGCGGTCGTCGTCGTCGTCGTCGACGCTGTCGTCGTCATCCTCATCGTCGTTGCGCTAATGGAGATAAAAATGCCATGTGAGCGCGCGCGCACGGATGAGCGTTCGACGATATTAATCATCCGCTAGTAATCGCGTTCTAGCGTGTGCCTACCAGCCGAATGCTGCTTGCAACCTGACTGGACGTTAGCTTCCCCTGCCTTCTCTCCGCGATCGTTCGTTGCGTGACCACCGTGATCATCTTTTTCCTCTTTCCGAGGAGAGAGGTAGAAAGAGAGAGAGACCGAGAACGAGGTATAATCGTCCACCGATTCGAAGTCCGCGGACTCGTGGCGACGGTTCGCGCAGAAATCGCCGCGGTGGCGATACGCACTTATCGCCTTTTAACGGCGGAATGAAAGACGACAACGACCGCGTCGATCGAAGTCATTTCCCGAGCCGCGGGAGTCATTCTCCCCGCTTGATCGCGCTCCTCGCAGCCTCGCGAATGTTCACGTTGAGCGACGATCAAGCAAAGAGCGCAAAGAGCGGCGGCAACGAGAAAAAATAACGTGAGCGTGGCGGCGACCACGCGGCTCATTTTTTCTCTCTCCTCCCCNCCCCCTCCCTCCCTCTCACTCTTTCTCGCTATCTCTCTCCTTCACCCCCCGCGGGAGCCTCTTTTGGCGATTGCACTCACATGACAGCCTACTTTGTTGTCCCTACGGGCGCAGATATTATTTACACGGCGGAATATCGGCCCGAGAGAGATATTAGCTTTCAGAAAAATATTTTTCAGCGCGGCGAACGCGCGCCGCGAAAAAATACCGCCCCTGGGCTTACGCCCCGGTATATTAACGCCTCCGGCGGCCGTTCCAGTAGTTTGTTGTGCGTATGAAACCGGCATGCACGCCGATCTCCGTTAGTTCCGGGGGATCGATGTCTTTTTGTTTCCTCTCTCCGTCCTCTTTCCCCCTACTTCCCCTCGCCGACTCTCTCTCTCTCTCTCTTTTTTTTCGCCCGACTGTATATCCATTTACCGTCTGGCGGAAAGGGCATAAATTCGAGTGTCTGGATAAAACCGATACCGCCGGAGCGAAGCGCAGCGCGACGCGTAAGAAACGCGCTCCGAGGCACGAACGTTTCAACGCGACGGCGGCGCTGCCGTGACGCTCTGACGGGAAAAATTCTACGGTAATTCTTCGCGCGGGCTCTGGAAAAATTCCTCGTGTCGTTGGAGAAAATATTTTCGATCACTTTTACGGACAGAATTTCCACCTAATACAGGATCCGGAATCAGTTTATCGAATCAGTTTGGAGAGTCCCGCGTTTTTAGCCCGAGATAATTGGCCACTTTGACGTAATTTGCTGCAAAATGCGTTTACTTCGCAGAATTAACCGGTACGATTAGGGATTTTCATTTCTACTTCAAATTTGACCGAAGGAAAATAAATCACATTCCTCAGAAATTTGAATTCGCAGACACAGAGGTGAAAAATAGTCAGAATAAAATAATATTCGCGGCAGCTAGTCAGAGGTAACTGAATCGAGCGAAAAGCGCACAATTGTAAATTGAAATAAACGAAAATTTTCATTTCATTGTTCGTATGTGTAGTACAATGACGAAACCTATTTCTTGGCGGCCGATAGATAACGAGAGAAAGAGAGAGAGAGAGAGAGAGAAAGTTGATAACGTGATAATTCGAGGATCGCTCCGTTTTATCGAGCACAGCGATAAAGGAAAGACCCCGGGAGGGTGAGAGGGAAGTCCAAGCCTTATCCCAGCATCGCTCTGTAAAACTACTCGCGAGTAGTCTCGGACGGCGCGCGGAAACTGCGAAACTACAACAGAGAGAGAGAGAGAGAGAGAGAAGCGCCCCTCATTAAACGGGAACGCCGCGCGCTCGCCTCTCTTCGTCGAAACTTTCGTCGTCGTCCGAAAAATAACAATGGGGTCTCTCGAGCGCCGGATTATTTCGAGATCACACGGTACATGACTCTAATTGAACGACTTCCGGTCGGCGTCGCGCTAATGGAGAACAGATTTTCGGATCCGCGCGGATTCCTCGTAACTCGCGGTCGAACCCCGAAACCCGCTTCCCACCCCGTGCGAGATCGGTTCCTTCGCGAAAACTCTTTTCTTCCAAGTCGAAATAAAAAAGTACCGTGGCAGAGAAGAGAGCGACACGCGGGAGCCAGGGGGGGAGGGGAGGTCGCAAGGGAGGGAGAAGAATAGGAACAAAGAGGGTAGATACGGAGGAAGACCAAGGGATGCAACGCGATAGATCGAGGTAGAGCATGTAGGTTGCGGGACGAGGGAAGAGGACGGGTCGCGTTCGTCTGACAAGGGTGGGTGGCAAGGAAAGAAGTCTGTCCCCCTTTTTCTCCCCTCGCTCTCGTCGCCTCTTTCTCTTCTCTCCTCCACCAACTTTATAATTCTTGCGACGCTTTTGGGGAATGAGATTGTCGGCGGCGGGGGGTGGCTGGGCTTTAAGGTAGTCTGCTGGCGCCAGTGACGTCTGCCGAATAGCTGCTGACTCCCAGACTCCTGCAGTTTCGGCTAAGTGGTTCCC